GCATACAAAACTTAATATTGTGGAACACTGGCAAGCCTTTGAGCAAATCAAAGTGGAACAAATTCTCATTCTGGATATTGTCTGCAATGGATGTTACTCAAGGGAAGCATACAAAACTTGTGTGTAGGAACACTCTAGTGAGAGCAAATCAAAGTGCTATAGACTGGCTCACAAATTCTCATTCTGGATGGATGTTTTGCATACAAAACTTGTAAATGGAACACACTGGCAAAAGCCTTACTAGTGAGCAAAATCAAAAGTGCTATACAAATTCTCATTCTGGACCATTGTCTGCAATGGATGTTTAAAACTTGTAATATTGGCAGGAACACACTGTGGTATACTAATTGACAAATCAAAATACTATAGACTCAAATTCTCATTAAATGTGCTCTGCATGTTCTGGATATTGTAGGAACACACTGGCAAGCCTTAATGAGATGTTACTCTGGCGCCGCAAATTCTCATTCTGGAAAACTGCAATGGATGTTACTGTGTGAACGTATTGTAGGAACTCTGGCAACTAGTGAGCAAATCAAAGTGCTATGAACTGGCTCACAAATTCTCATTCTGATATTGTCTGCAATGGATGTTACTCCAAGGAAGCCATATACAAACTTATAATATTAGGAACACTCTGGCAAGCCTTACTAGTGAGCAAATCAAAGTGCTATAGACTGGCTCACAAATTCTCATTCTGGATATTGTCTGCAATGGATGTTACTCCAAGGAAGCATACAAAACTTGTAATATTGTAGGAACACACTGGCAGCAAGCCTTACTAGTGAGCAAATCAAAGTGCTATAGACTGGCTCACAAATTCTCATTCTGGATATGGATGTCCAAGGAAGCATAAAACTTGTAATATTGTGAGGAACACACTGGAGCCTTACTAGTGAGCAAATCAAAGTGCCTAGACTGGCTCACAAATTCTCATTCTGGATATTGTCTGCAATGGATGTTACTCAAGGAACAAAACTTGTAATATTGTAGGAACACACTGGCAAGCAAATCAAGTGCTATGGACTGGCTTAAATTCTAGTGATATTGTTGCAATGGATGTTACTAAAGAGCATGCAAAAGTGTAGGAACACTCTGGCAAGCCTTACTAGTGGCAAATCAAAAGACTGGCTCCCTGGAAATTCTCATTCTGGATATTGTCTGCAATGGATGTTACTCCAAGGAAGCATACAAAACTTGTAATATTGTAGGAACACACTGGCAAGCCTTACTAGTGAGCAAATCAAAGTGCTATAGACTGGCTCACAAATTCTCATTCTGGATATTGTCTGCAATGGATGTTACTCAAGGAAGCATACAAAACTGTAATGTTGTAGGAACAAAACTAGTAATATTGTAGAGGAACACACTGGCAAGCTGCAATGGATGTGAGCATACAAAACTTCAAAGTGCTATAGCCTTACTGGTGAGCAAATCAAAGTGCTATAGACTGGCGCTCCCAAATTCTCATTCTGGATATTGTCTGCAATGGATGTTACTCCAAGGAAGCATACAAACTTGTAATGTTGTGGGAACACTCTGGCAAGCCTTACTAGTGAGCAATCAAAAGTGCTATAGATATTGTCTGCAATGGATGCTCATACAAAACTTGTAATGTGTAGGAACATTCTCTAGTGAGAGACAATCAAAAGTGCTATAGACTGGCTCAAATTCTCATTCTGGATATTGTCTGCAATGGATGTTACTCCAAGGAAGCATACAAAACTTGTAATATTGTAGGAACACACTGGTAAAGCCTTACTAGTGAGCAAATCAAAAGTACTATAGACTGCTCACAAATTCTCATTCTGGATATTGTCTGCAATGGATGTTACTCAAGGAAGCATACAAAACTTGTAATATTGTAGAACACTCTGGCAAGCCTTACTAGTGAGCAAATCAAAGTGCTATAGACTGGCTCACAAATTCTCATTCTGGATATTGTCTGCAATGGATGTTACTCCAAGATACTTAAAACTTGCATATGAACAAAAGCCTTTGTGAGCAAATATTGCTATAGGAATTCTCATTCTGGATATTGTCTGCAATGGATGTTGAGCAAACAAAACTTGTAATATTGCAGGACTCTGGCAAACCTTACTAGTAAGGCAAATCAAATTCTCATTCTCATTCTCTGGATATTGTCTGCAATGGATGTTACTCCCAAGGAAGCATACAAAACTTGTAATATTGTAGGAACACTCTGGCAAGCCTTACTAGTGAGCAAATCAAAGTGCTATAGACTGGCTCCCCAAATTCTCATTCTGGATATTGTCTGCAATGGATGTTACTCCAAGGAAGCATACAAAACTTGTAATGTTGTAGGAACACTCTGGCAAGCCTTACTAGTGAGCAAATCAAAAGTGCTATAGACTGGCTCTGGAATTCTCATTCTGGATATTGTCTGCAATGGATGTTACTCAAAGGAAGCAGCCTTACAAAACTATGACTTCACAAATTCTCATTCTGGATATTGTCTGCAATGATGTTACTCCACATACAAAACTTGGCAAACCTTTACTAGTGAGCAAATCAAAGTGCTATAGACTGGCAAATTCTCATTCTGGATATTGTCTGCAATGGATGTTACTCAAGGAAGCATACAAAACTTGTAATATTGTAGGAACACACTGGCAAACTAGTGGCAAATCAATGTTAGACTGGCTCACAAATTCTCATTCTGGATATTGTCTGCAATGGATGTTACAGGAAACGCCAAAACTTATAATGTAGGAAACACTGGCAAGCCCTACTAGTGAGCAAATCAAAGTGCTATGGACTGGCTCCAAATTCTCATTCTGGATATTGTCTGCAAGCAACAAGGAAGCATACAAAAGTAATATTGTGAACACTGGCAAGCACTTACTGATGAGCAAATCAAAAGTGCTATGACTGGCTCACAAATTTCATTCTGAATATTGTCTTACCCAATGGATGTTACTCTACAAAACTTGAGGAACACATTGCCTTACTAGTGGGCAAATCAAAGTGATAGACTGGCTCACAAATTCTCATTCTGGATATTGTCTGCAATGGATGTTACTCAAGGAAGCATACAAAACTTGTAATATTGTAGGAACACTCTGGCAAAGCCTTACTAGTGAGCAAATCAAAGTGCTATAGACTGGCTCCACAAATTCTCATTCTGGATATTGTCTGCAATGGATGTTACTCAAGGAAGCATACAAAACTTGTAATATTGTAGGAACACTCTGGCAAGCCTTACTAGTGAGCAAATCAAAGTGCTATAGACTGGCTCACAAATTCTCATTCTGATTCTGCAATGGATGTTACTCCAAGGAAGCATAAAAAACTTGTAATATTGTGGAACACTCTGGCAAATACTAGTGAGCAAATCAAAAGGAACGCTCTAAATTCTCCTGATTTAAATCAATCAGAATCTGTGGTCAATCTACATACAAAGTGGACTAACTAACATGCACTGGATCATGTTTTCATTGGAAAAATATGAAAAGTGAATAATAACAGAATTATTGTTTTTGTGTCAATTAATTTAGGTGATCATGGCCCTCCACATCTTCTGTATAATTAATTTGCACAAGGGTGCATGTTCTATTTATGCTTTCCATGTCAACTGGCCTTTTTCAGGTGTTTATGTGCAAAAGGAATCCATTTATCTTTGAAAAGGTTGAGAGCGTGCACCTGACAATGCTGTCATTTATAACAGAAAACAGTTGGTGAAACAGCCGGGACATGTTGCCTATGCAGTTGGTGAAATAACCGGATTTTGGTGACCTCCTAATTGGTAATCTATCCTAATCCAATTAGGAGGTCACCAAAATTCCAAACCAATGCTTTAATCCACTTGGCTACTGTCCCATGGAATTATTGAGTTCATGAATTTGGTGACATAGTAATTGTGAGTTCAATCTTTGAGCCAGACAGTGCAAACTTAGACTTGATGGAAACAAGGCAATAATTGAGCAATACCAAAAATAATAAAGATATCTATAGATACGAACAGCAAAATGAAAACAGTCTATCCTTGTAGATTATAGTGATTTTCCAAGTATAGCTTAGATGTGGCATAAGGCCAAAAGTAAGGGATACCCAGTGAGGATCAAACTCACTACTCAGTCGTAATTGTTCTCGCAAGACAAGCTTGCTAACTAGTACACCACATAATCCTCATAGATTATATAAAGTGTTCAGTTTGAAATTCCCTCAAGGTTACCTGAATTAACAAACCCCTGAAGAAGGCTGGAAGACACAAATGTGAATAAAATGTGATGTTAAGAATAACAAAGATGAGGACAATAATTCACCTGTAAATGCTTAGCTTTTTTTTTTGTTGGACGGAATTACAACCTTTACTAACTTGGCATCAGAATGAGAAATATAGACTTTACATTAAAAAGCTGAAATTTAAAACACAATAGATGCTGGGAAGTTCCTTGTCTGCCAATGCAGTTTGCAATCAACTGTGCTCTCGGAACACCTAATATTGCAAATAATATACCAGATAAGTTCTGGAGATCAAAAGGTTTTCTTTTTTTCTGACTGATTATACATGACAAAGGCTGAAGAATCGATCAGTCAAAATGCAGTGTTAACAACCACAAGTATAAGAAAAAGAGATTCAAGTGTATGTTGGATATATTAATGACTCTTCTCAAAGTTATCAATAATAGATTAACAAATAAACTGGTTTAGATTATAACACCACAGGCATTAATTGGGTATGAGTGGGAAATGTTTTCTTTCTCACACGTTACTTGTGATGACAAGCGATTTTAAGAAAGAAACCTCTTTGACTTTGATCTCATGTTCACCTACTAAGCTACACTGACAGATACATGAATGAAAAGTAGGAATTTTTTTTTTTTTTTTAGAATAAGTTAATATAACATAAAATGAAACAAAGAGAGAAACAGACACCCAATTACATTCATTTGGATTGAATTGCTCAAAATAAAATTGCCTCTCAAGAAGAATTTTACTCATGGAGGATGTAACTATAAATTCATAGAATGGCCTACCTCTAATTTTTTCAAAGTCTGTGTCCAGGATTTGTAGGCAGCAAGTCCAGCATTGAAACCTGAAGAAAATAAAAGTTAAAGATTCAAAAGATTATTTCTCAACAAATGGAAAGATAAAAAAATGGAAATAATTAGTATTTTGCATGCAATTGTTTAAAATTTGCACAAAAATCATGTACACAAAGTGTGACCCGCAAAGTTCAGAGAATTTGAAAACAGAATGACCATTTTGTTAATTTGTTAAGTTACCAAGGATTTCCCGTGTCTTGCTGGATACTTCACACCAATCTTGAAATCACTCCAAAAAAAAGAGAAAAAATGGCAAACTAAAGAAGACACTTTATGCTTTAAATTCTCTACATTTTGAAATAGCAACTTGTGTATGTGTGTGCAAGTTGGTTGGCTGATTTTGTTTAGCCATATATCAACTCCTATTGGTTATTTAATGCTAAAATCTAAATACTCTGAACACAATTTTATAGCTTCAAATAAATATATTTTATACCTTCAACTACAGATAAAATGTATTCTATTTACATTATTCGGACTATTGTCCTCATCTAGTGTAATTACACTAGTATACTGAACTGTCACTTTGGGGAACAGATTCCAGAGGGGATGCTTCCCCAATCAGTGAAATCTTAACCTTTATATGACCATAATGTATAACTGTAGCTAGATAACTACAATAATGGGAATACCACTTTATATGCAAAAGGATTGGAACTTTAAACTAAACAAGTCTAAATGACACACTTTATAGGCATTTACATTTTGTATCTTTTTAACATTCAAAGTCAATCCAGATTTTCTCACAAGGTCTAAAAAGAATGTGAATATTTACCAATGGCTAAGTGCGGATTGGATGTAGTGACCTTGTGCCACAATTTCCTGTGTAAGTAAAATGTCAGGTTGCCTTGAATCTTTTGGAAACCATGGGCTTTATGTGAAATTTTGTTTCCAAAAAAATGAATTTCAAGTTTATATGATGGAAGCAAATGACCCAGTTCAAAAAAAAAAAAAAAAAAAAAAGCAAATGTAATAAACTTATTTTATTGCTTGACTGACCAGTTTTAAAAATGTTGGATTTATGATTAATGAACAGGTAAGATAAAGAAGACAACAGTGAGAGTGACATTTAGCAATGGGATTTAAATTCATGCATTATTTATGGAGTCAGTGTATTTATTTGTCAACACTAAGTTCAAATACATCATATTATTTGAATTAAATTTACTTTCATTTTATTTTTATGGAAGCATAATGAATTTCTATGTAAGTTCTCTTCTAGAATCAATTATATCTAATAAGAACTATAATGATCTTTATCTCAATTTATGCATCAAACAATTTTAAGATATAAAGAACTACAGAAAATAGACTTGGATGAAAGAAATATTTAATAAACAAAAACTAGAGTAGTCTTGTTTCAGCATTTATTTTCATCATCATGATGAAAGTAAGATATTCTGCCTTTATATATATATATTTCCAAATGAGAGAAAGAACAGATGGAATAAAATTCCACTGTTCATAGCATTTACTTTTAAAAAAGTGCTTAATACAAAGTAGAGCAATATTATTATATTATTATAAAAGATTATAATATAAACATGATGAAATTGCTACACAAAAGCTTTCATGGTTCAATACTTTGTACTTTTTCAGGCTATATATATTGAATTTATCATCCGAAAAGGAAAAAAATATTAGATCACATGAGAAATTGTATAAAAAACTAAATAAAAGCACCTTGTCTGTCATTTTCAATGAAATGTGCATGAAAGAAGGATTGCTGCCTAAATACACAAAAATATATATATATAAGTACAAGATAAATAATTAGAAATAAAATGGAAAATTATAATTTCAATTTAGTTTATTTTGCTATATATATATATATATATATATATATAATACAAATAAAAAAGGAATATTATCTACAACACATCTCTTAAATATTTATTTTTACCAAGCATGTTCTTTAAGTTAGTTATATCAGCCCATCACATATATATGCCAGCTGAATTTAACAGAATTACTTAATTCTTGCTTCCTAATTATATATAACAAAGATAGTGTTTCACAAAAAAGAAAAAAACAAGGTGGCCAGTATATTTCTGTTAGATATAATTTGTAATTATATTGCTTGATGTCAAGAAACAGAGCATTAACAGTAATAAATAAAATTAAGTGTTCGCTTGTCTTTGCTTTCAGTTTTGTTGAAATTATATGCATTCTTTAGAAGACTTGATTGTAAAATTAAAATTCAATTTTACAATTAAGTCTAAATGTAATCAATGTAAAAGTCAGAGCAAAGCCAAGGTAAGTGAATATTTAATTTTAATTATTACTACATAAACAAAATTACTTAATATTTTGACAAAACATATTAACATTCAGCAGTGAATATAAAAAAGGAACTGAAATTACTGTTGATAGTAAAAATTATAAATACAAGAGATTAAAACTTGTTGGGAAGAGAAATTAGAAAGAATATGAATCATGTTGTTTTCTAGATTTTAGTGTGCCATTTTCAATGTTTAAATCAAGATTAAAGTATCTTGCACCCTGTGAATACATAAACTACTATAGGAAAATATACTTTTGCATAAAAAAAATCCTGGACTATCCTTTAAACTCTGGTCCCATGTACATATAGGACCCTACATTAAAAATACATTTGAAATGAGCTGGCATTATGTTAAATATCTTAATTGCTACAGGATCAAACTCAATACATCAGTCTGTAAGACTGTCATATAGGAATAAAGTGTTGTTGCCAACAATTAGGTTTGAACACAGATTGCCAGAGGGCAAGCATAGTCGACCTCATCTTGAAATAATTAGATCATGTGACGGGTAAAGGAAAATATATATATATATATATATATATATATATATATATATATATATATGGGGGAATTAGAGGGAATTAGCGGTGTCTGACAGGTGTTACTATAATTTTGAAGGTGTTACTATTATTGTATCTGTGATTTACAAAGTCTCTCCTACATATGGGCATTACAAAACAGACTATGTAACTAACCACTCATTTATGGCATAAAATAGTGTGTATAAAACATTTTTTATGTTAATTATTATATAAATCCTCAAATCAGCTTACTAGTTGAGATAGGTCTTTCTCTCTGGTAACAGTGATCAGATTAGAGCTTGTCTATGATTCTGAATGGTAATTTTCAAGCAGTTAGGTCCTGCTTATTTGATGCAGTACAATCTTGTTGCACCCATCTATTTGTCTTTCACCTGCCTTTTATACTGAACTAGCCTGAGTAAATATTTATAAAATATAAATTCATAGAATTTGCTTCAATGAAAGAAATCAAAAAGTGTTGACCAACCAAGAAATACACAAGCATATCTGCTTCTTTCTCTGCTCCAAGAATGTGTATGACCAAACTTTGAGGAAAATTGCTGGAATCTGGAAAAAAATGCAAACAATTACTTTGAGTTGCAAATATCACTTCTTATTTAGCACAAAATTTAACCAATAAATTGATGGCAATATTTAAGTTTATGATATATTATTAGTATAATGCAATTACAAAATTATTATCCATTTATAATTCTACAGTTTGGTAGCATTAAATGTCCTATGGCTGTCATGGCTACACTATCTCCTTACCTATTACATCACATATGTCATTCAGCTAAATCCAAGTGGATAAACCATCCAATGTACTGGTGTTTCTAATTTTTTTGAACTTTAATTTATGTGCAAAAGTTTTCTGTAAATTTTCATTTAAAAAAGATTTTTAATGTTTATCCTAGTCTATAAAAAGAGGATTCTAAGAACTTTGGCAAACCGAATAGAAATAAAATCAAATACTGACTAAATTAGTGTGACAATAAATGTTTGCACTAGCTGGAGTTGGGGAGCCCAGGATGTTTTTGCTTGTCGGGCTGCTGTTTTGTGGAGGAGGGGTGCATTCTCCGATGTTTGTTGTTTTGTGCTGCTACTGCGCGATTTGTCTAGTGGCGGTTAGCATGCTGATTGGACGAGCGGGGGACGCGAATCAAAAGCGATGAGAACGCAGGAGTATTTTGATTGCGTCGGCTGTTTTTTGGGGTGAATGAGAAAACGGTTTGGGACATTCGCTAGCAGTGCAGCTGGGACCGAAGTGACATTGACTATTATGTTGTTTGGTGGACTGTTACAACAGACTATCGTTTGAATTGTGATTTGGCTGCAAGAGTTGCGGTTGAGAGACAAATCTATTGCAGATGTTTGTTGCTACTTCAAGTTGACAGTTTTGTTTTTATTTTATTTCTTTTCTTGTTTTGTACTACTACTACAATTAGATTCATCGGTTGAATTTTATTTTTTTTAATAAGTTTGATTTTTAAGTTGTGAAATGATCTATTGCCATTATTCCATGAATGATTCAGAAAAATATTTTCATCTTTTTGGTTTGTATTTCTGGGATGTGAATTTACTATTGACATTATTTACATTTGAACCATTTTCCTCATCTTTGTTGACAAATACTTCATGAAAATAGCCTAGTGGATTTAAGTGCAGGTTCATGGAGATGGTGACATAATCCTGAGTTCAATCCCTGGTCCAGGTAGAACAAGGTTAGACTCTGTGGAAACAGAATGAGCAATAAGTGAGCTGTACTAAATAAGAACAAAAAAAAAATATCCATAGACATGGAGAGTAAAAACGAGAACGAACTATGCTTGCCCCCATGACCACCATCTAGGTTAAATAAAGGGTTCAATTTGAAATTCCATTAAGTTTATGCAGATCAACAAACACCTGAAGAAGGCCAGAAAGCAAACCAACTGAAACATTGCAATAACAACAAAGATGAGTACGATAGTCTGAATGCAGATAAATTTCATCTTTGTTATTTTCAACCCAAAAGTTTTTAGTCATATATTCTTTGCATACAATAATATTGTATTTGGTAGTATGATTCAAATTTCCCTTTATCATCTCATGAAAAATAACTAATAGTTCTAGGAATTATATACAAATTGTTTACATTGTGATGAAAAGTTCTCAGCCCAACCAGCCCTTCCAAAAATAAAATCTGATGTTATTTGGTCATATTTTGTGAAGTTAGTGGGGCTGAAAACTTTTAAGTGCTTCTTACAAAATTTTTGACACTTAAATCTGTCATATGTTCTGATAAACAGAAATGAGCCAAAGCACATAGAAATGTATAGGCAAATTTTGACAAAGATAACCATTAAAAAAAAACAGTGTCCAAATGAGTTTTTCTCTTGATAGCACTATTACTGTATACTCCTCCTTTTGGTGGGCATGTTTGTTAAACTTTTCCAAATTATTCTTGTAAATAAACAATTTAATAAATAGTGCTAAACATTTTTGTTGTCAATTCTAAAAGAATGTATAAATCCTGTTTTATACTTTTGGGTTTTACTAAAATAGCTTTTTTTTGTTTGCAGGTACATTTGTTAAACTTAATATATATGTATATGTATTTATGAATAAAAATGACAATAGGAAAACTGGTAATTGCTGACGCGTTTCGTCCAATGTGGACTTTATCAAAGCAAAATACGAAAATGAAATTAAATGAACAACGTAACTAATAAAAACAAAAACAGAATGTACCTAGCAACTGGAATGTAGAGAAACGCTATTTTCATATTTTTTAAATGAAAAATGACGTCAGAGATTGTCACGTGTGGAGAATATTGTCATTATATCTGTGTTGATGTATTCAACCATTTTCTTTATATATATGTATATATATTAATAAATACACATATACCAATAATGTTTTTCATTGAACAACGCTTTATTTTTAGTTTATTTTATAATATTAAATGTTAGCTCTATATACAGTAGACAAAGAGATTACTTGTCAACTACCATACCGAACAAAAATACAACATATGGAAATATATACCATATAAGTTTGTATCATATATCATGATTTTTTTCCAAATATCTGCTTACCGACACTTTATATTTTGAAATTATACCCAATATTATATTAAATTTATAATAACCTTTGACTTTGACACTGCATATAATATAGTATTCTTCCCATGAGACCCATGACGTTAAAAGAAGTAGGAGGTAGTAGGCATTAATTGTGAGGAATTGATATTCGCAGCTAAAGAGTCAACTTAAACCTTAACTTGCCAAAAACACCTAATACAGAGTTTACACTTTTCACTTAGTTGGACACTAGGCCCAAGGCAGGGGTTAAGGAAGGTGGTAGGTATCAAAAGTACTTGGGTTAACAAAAACTATGGCACTTCTGTAATAAATTTAATCAAGAAAAACATCAAGAAACGGATTAGACAACTGGAAAGGATAAGTATAAAAATAAGTAAACACAATATGTCTATATTATTTTTCTTGATTTACTGATTTATATATATATATATATATATATATATATAGGTTACTGATTTTATATATATATATATATATATATATATATATATATATATTTTTATATATATATATATATAGGTTACTGATTTTATATATATATATATATATAGGTTATGATTTTTATATATATATATATATATATAGGTTACTGATTTTATATATATATATATATATATATATATATATATATATATATATATATAGGTTACTGATTTTTTATATATATATATATATATATATAGGTTACTGATTTTTATATATATATATATATATATATAGGTTACTGATTTTTATATATATATATATATATATATATATATATATAGATTTACTGATTTTTATATATATATATATATATATATATATATAGGTTACTGATTTTATATATATATATATATATATATATATATATATATATATATATATATAGAGGTTACTGATTTTATATATATATATATATATAGGTTACTGATTTTATATATATATATATATATCATATATATGTTTGAATAAAAAACAGACCACGTTATATATATATAGTTAGGCAGCAATTTTTCATTAATGCATGTTTCATTAAATAATATAGACAAGTTTTGTCTATTTATTTTAAGTAAGTTCCTTTCATATTGTCTGATAAGCTTAATCACATTATCATTGAAAAATGAAAGGAAAACAAAGTTTGTTGTTGCTTTGAAATTTTTCATACAGCAAGGGCAGACTATCATTGTTGTTTCGTTTGTGTGTTGTTTGATATATTGAAATTGTCATCTTTGATAATGGCTTATGTAAGCCGAAAGCTTAGATTGTGTTTAAACATGTATCAATATGGCGTTTTCCTTTCATCTTTCAACGATAATGTTATTAGGCTTATCAGACAATATGAAAGGAACTTACTTAAAAATAAATAGACAAAACTTGTCTATATTATTTAATGAAACATGCATTAATATATATATATATTAAATTGTCTATCAAATAACTAATAAATGACTTACAATGCACACTGAGACAAGATGTAATGATATAATACAAAGTTAATGGGTAAGTGAGTAAGATGGCCAATGGGCAGTTGAGGCTGAAGCCCCTCCATTCATAATAAGCTTCCCAATTAATCAGTGGATAAACAGGAGCAGCAATAGGTTCAGTTGACTGGAGTTCTTTCTCTTCGGCCAATACCAATGGAAAATTCAACATGGACAGGTCACCTAGGAAAAAAAAAGTCCATAATTTACTGTCAAATTGGCTCTTTGTACATTATAAGATATTTACTAAGCTTAGCTTAGTCTGTGATAAAACCAAGTACTGGAAAATAGGAGAAAGAAGATTGTGTTGTGCCAGTCTTTCAAGGAGCCTATTAAAAATCCTGGCTTTTGCATTCATCACCCCTTTTGCAATAACATTGTCTTTATTCTTATTGAAATGTTTATCTTAGTTTATTCAAACTCAAACTATACAATTAAAAATTGGACAACCAAAGAATCCTGGATTGACTCTTGTAACATTTTGTCAATGTAACAAGAATGCAGCACCAAAGCCAAATCTAAAATAGATAGGCAGCAATTCCAAAAAAGAATTATTGCGTCAGAAAAAGTTAACTTATTTATAGTCACATAGGAAGTCAGTTTTTGAGAATTTTGTCCTCTTTTCATCATTCTGACAATACACTTGCAAAACCGAGGAACTACCCTGAACATGACAGAGCATACAGGATTTGACCATTTTCTGACAAACTCATGTCACTTTGGCAGAAATACTTTTATCCCGAAAAGGAACTTTCAGTGGCACACTACATTGCCAAATGAAATAAAAGTAGCAAAACCTCGACCAGACAAGCCCCCCCCCCCAATCACGCGCAGAGACGGACACATTTTATATATTTTCTGATATGACAGAAGGCCAGTAAATTTGATGACAAATGGCCACACTGCCTAGACTTTCAGAAAAGAAGTAAGGTCAAAAACGACTTGAAAATTATACCTGGATTGTGCACAAGTCTTGTGCTGTGCAGGCCTACTCTCAGCACATGGGGGGGGGAGTAGACAGAGCTGACAAGCAGCTAACATACTACATGGTGCTGCACCAATCTGTCAAGTAGTGGAAAAAAAGTCGTTTTTTTATTTTTATTTTTTTTTATTTACTTGAACTCTGCTTCTTCAATGCCCTGGTCATCTGGAAAGCAAAGTCAGTTTGCCAAGTCAATGCTGAAAAGTTCAGGCTGAGCATTATACATTCTCTGATGGAAGGCTATGAGTCAGGAGAGGCAGGAGGACTGAAGACCTCCCAGAAAGGCTGGTGTTAACAGAACACAACCTTGTGATCAACCCCAAGCACCTGAAATGTGGAAGGCCATCTCACCCAGATTGTTGTGTTTGTTTAAACAGAGAGAAGAAGCACCACCAGACCCAGTTTGTGTGCAGAAAGTGTGATGTGCCACTCTGCCCATACCCCTGCTTCCAGAGGCTCCACAGTTTGGTAGACTACAAGGTAGATTGTACCTCAGAACTCCACAAGCAATAAATGCTAAAGTATGTGAAATTATTAATGTAGTTGTTATTCATTTTTTATTTCTTATTTTGTGCTTCAATTTTTTTTTTTTGCTTTCAGTGTCATAACATACATGCAAAATGTAATGCATTACATCAAAATATTACTCATCCATTCTTTTACTAGTATACAAAAAAATGAAATCTATACACACAATACAAAGAAAGTTATAACAATTTTAAAACAATAGGTGCTCATGTATTTTGTAACATCAGAAAGAATTCAGTGGCAGGGGGAATAATTCTAAAAGGAATTTGGTGTGGTAAAGGTTAAATAAATATGCCACCCAACATTAAAACCACTTATATTTCATTACAGCCTATACCGGCTTATGCAGCAGAATCAAAAATGCCTCCCAGAGCTGACCCCCACCAGCTACACTCCTGGTTGTGTTGAGCTATGATATATTTTTTGTATATTATTATATCTTTTTAAATACTTTTAATTTTATTAAGGTTCAATTTTGGGTGACAATTTTACTTGTCATCCTTTATAAGAATTCATAAAGTTTTGATGAATAAAATATCATTTTATAATGTAGCTGCAAGAAAGGGCAGCAACATTATGTCATTTTCTTATCACGATTTCTCCACTAAGAATCAGTTATGTTGGCACCAGATCTTTTAAAAAAGAAACAAAAAGGCTTTTTTGATGTGAAGTAAATTTATTGGGTTTGATGATGTTTCAAACATTTCATTGCTTTTTTTCCATTCATATGTTTCTTTTTCAGGGAATGAGAAATTACTCCTCGAGTTGCCTGTGACACATTTGCCAAATTAATCTTGAAAGTAACTTGTTATGCTTACTGAGCAAAGCATTTCAAGTTGGTCTTAAAGTGTGTTATTTCAACTAATGCAGCAAAAAAGAAAAAAAAATGTGATTTTATTAATTGTTTTCACAACTCACTTCAGCAATTTTTCTATATAAAGCTTTCTTTTGCATGTTTGATTTTCCTAGATACCTTTAGCATCTTCCTGTATGAAGCCTTCTTTTGCATGTTTGATTTTCCTAGATACCTTTAGCATCTTCCTGTATGAAGCCTTCTTTTGCATGTTTGATTTTCCTAGATACCTTTAGCATCTTCCTGTATGAAGCCTTCTTTTGCATGTTTGATTTTCCAAGATACCTTTAGCATCTTCCTGTATGAAGCCTTCTTTTGCATTTTTTCAACAGCAAAATGTAAACATTTCATCTGTATTACTAAAGTTGTTAAGAGCAAAAAGTGTGAATTTCTGTAACACAAAGATATATGCAGGTGCTAAATGTCACAAAACCAAAAGCTACATATTACAAAAGAATCGACAAACAAACTGCAAATAGACTGCCAGGTTCTCTAGGAAATTGAGCTGTAAACAAAGTTTGGGTTTTTCAGCCATTTTTTGCAGAGAATAAATACACACAACACATGGGTGTTTTGGTTAGCAAAATAAGCTACTGTGTTTTTTTTACTACAATTTCTCTGCCTGTTGTCATTAGAATGCTAGCCATTTGTTATGAAAGTGCCTATTTCTGAAAACTTGGTTAGTGTTGTTCCTTAAAATTATTCTTAGTGATAAACTGTGAATGATAAAATATCCTTAATGGTTTTCCATCAATTTAACATTAGCTCGAGATTAAACTAAGCTTAATAAATATCAAGAATTAACAGGATTATTTATGAAAAATTAAATGCATCTAACAGTTTTGACAATGATGAGTCTGTGGTACACTAGCAAAATGTACCAAATATTGAAAATTTATCAAATGGTTCTTATTCAAATAAACATAGACATTCGTAAATTGTGTCAATTGTTGATTCAGCTTCTGCAAAAGAAGTTAATATATCTGAAGAGTTACTTACCAAATTCTGAAATTATATTGACAGCAGAGCAATGTTCATACCGCCAAGCTCCAAAATTGTAGACATCATGTTGGATCAAAAATTCTTTGTATTTGGCAAGAGTGAAATCTATGGAAGAAGTTTCTGCAAAAAGATTTTTTCAAATACTAAATTTTACAATTTTAATTATATTTTATATATCATTCATTTCAAGAGAAATCCTTTGAGTTCAATTCAGACCTCAGAGATTTAAATTATAGTAAAAGTTATTCAATATATACATACATAAAGTTATTCATTATATACACATGCATAAAGAAATATAGCTTTTATATATACACACACACATATATATATATATATATATATATATATATATATATATATATTAAACAATAAACATGCAATCAATTTACAAATACATGAATTATTCACACAAAACTAATGCAAAGGTTAATGATTTAAATGGCGAGACATCCATCTCGCAAACAATTCAAATAGTAGTAAAAACCTCCAGATCCATTTATGAATGAATTGAGCCTTGTTTATATAAATTTCTGCCGTATTAGTTGTTATTTTTTACTACAAGCTTTCGTCTGTTCCTACAGACATCTTCAGGTATATAATAGATGTTGTTCTTGTTTTTTTCTCTTAGTAATAAGAGGACATCGAAAATATATGTGTATTGTATCCGAAATGCTATTGAAAATGAGATATTGGTTTTTGAACGCGCCAAAGCAACGCTGAGTTTGAAAAATATATATTTCCGGTATCTGTTTTTTAATTTTAGGTCAGCAAATCAGTAGTGATTTATGCATCTGAAAATAATTCATATTTATCTATATCTCACTCATTTAAACTGTTATTTAACTCCTCTTTTTCAAACCTCTCTCTTAAATTTTAATCCCCACCCTCACCTTTAGGCCTTCCTGTTCTTCTATTACGCCTCTCTCAAGAGCTTTCATACATTTCCCGCTCGCATTTGTTTCCCACTCCCACTAAAATCTTGTTTTTTATACCTGGAGTTATATTTTCTGATTTCTTTTTGAATTTGTATTCAATTAACTCGATTTTCATCACTAAGGATTTACATCCCAGCTTCAGTCATTTTTCCCACCACTGTAACAGCTTTCTTCTGCCTTTTCCTTAAATGTTTTCATTGTAATTGTTCTAATGGATTTTCTACTAAGGCACCTAGATTTGAGAACTTGAAGCACGGTACTAGATTGTTGGAAGGGACTCATAATTTTACAGTTAAAATGGTTACATGTAACTATAAGTTCTATGCTAACAGTTTCTTCTCTCACTCATTGCTTTCTAGTCAACATTGATCATCAAAAATTTAAATACAGTGTTAGTCATTATCATCTCTCTTCATAATTCTTGTTCTTTTATTGTTCTCTACTTAATAATGCTTTTTTTTTCACATATTCTCACACACTCAGTAACCCTTGTGTCTTAGTGAGTTTATTGCTGTGCTTGGGGTGAAATGATTATAAAAAATAATATACTTTAAATATATAACACGTATCCCTTTCTTTAAGTTTTAAGGGGAGAGGCTGTATCCTCTAACCCACACCCACCCAACTCACTATCGCACAGGTAGCAGATGGGGGCAGTCTTTTACATTTGCCGCTTCTTTGAAGTGGTTTGGCAGGCTCACTTGCTTCTTGAGGTGGCCCTGTCACCATCTATCAACCTTCATTGTTGTTACCATTACTCGATTGGTTAGTCAACATCAATTGAATGGTCATCTTTGTTCTTCATTACAGGTATGTACATTTCATTGTCTCTTGACATGGTGGTTTAGTCTTCCACAGAATTTTTCACCATATGAGGAAAAGGGCGGAGGTCTCTCACATGACATCCATCCATGGAAACCGCTTGGGGACTCTTAAATCCAATCACTTTCCCCGCCCTCTATTTACTCATGCATCTGTTTGGTGGAGTTCTTACTACTATGATGTCCCCTTTTCTTGTACATACCATGCTCAAACTCAGGCTCCAGTGGAGGGATCCTGTTGACACCTTTCACTCAGATTTCATACTGGTAAAAGGCATTAGCCAGAGCAGTTGCACCATGGACACCATCCTAACATTGGACCAGTAAAACACTTCCAGAGCAGATCATTGCTTTCTGGTAGTAATTTGCTTTATGGATCTGCATGATCGTTCAACAATGCAGAAACTAGATTTCTAGATGCCACATATCCACATTGGAAACACAGGCAGACAACCCGCCTCTCAGCAAACATTTTAAACTCCTGTTGTTAAATACCATATTGTTATCTGTCAAGATCTCTTAATGTGGGCCCCTTTAAAAAAAATAGAGTTAAGACACTGGATCATAGTAGCCGAATTTTCTTGTCATAGAGGTCACCAAATAGCAAACCAGCTAGGCCCACAGTCTATCAGTGAGCACCCCTGTAATGTGGGTTATCCATCCCTAGTGTCTGCTATATATCTGCTGTCTCCAGGTTCCCTTTTTCACCATCGGATCATTCCCAAATTGATTGACAGACATTCCAGGCAGGATTTAACAGCAGATCTCACAGCCTCTTTTGTTGTTGACAGAGCAATTTTCCTGACAAAATACATTGTTCATTTTGCACTGGAGTAGCTGCTGTGTGAGTGTATTTGCCTTATCTGACTTGGTTCCATACCATTGCAGCACATACCATTGCACAGGTTCTACCTCATTCTTCATTGTTCCCAGCCACCTCTGCAGGACTCTGGTGATTCTGTCCAGTTTATTTTAATTTGATTTGACAAGCATAATGTCCACCATTAATGCATACTTCTTAACCAACTCCAAGAAGGTTTGCAGCTGCCTCCTGATCAGTATCTCACTCACAGCCTTAATGCTCACTCTGATTTTACCTGTCAAAATGTTTGTGAGCCATTGACACACACAGTTTTTAAATGTATAGTCTTAGTATACAGTGTATAGCTAGGTTTATCCCCTTTACAATAGCATCTAGCTCCACAAGGTTGATGTATTGCATGTCCGACTCTGGCCCATAACCAACATGTGTATTAAATAATGGACCCACAGTTCTTTTCTATCAATGCACTACTTGCCTCTACATGGATCATTTTGCCTCACTTTGGTAATAGTCTCTGTCAGCATCCTTATTAGTGGAGTATCGTCAATTCGATCATCCCAACCTTTCATCACTTGATGACAGCAACCACTACTTGCAGCCATCAACAGATTGGGAGATGTCCAACAAGCTTGCTACAAAAAGCGAATACCTTCTTCCTGGTGACCACCTCTAGGATATCAGGAAGTGCATTCCTCAACTTCCAAAGCAGAACATTTAGCCAAGTATCCAAGCTCCATTTCTTGGTCACTCTGGAATTTTGTTCTTCTGGATATTAATTAATTCTCTTCAGTAACTCAACTTTCCATGTTTTTGTTCACCTCTACCAGGTATTGAACTCACAACTCTTTAGGTCAAGTTACTGGATTACTTCTAACAATATTTTTATTCACTGGGTTATGTGTCCTTGTGAACTAAATAAAGGGTTTGGCTTGAAATTCCAGTGTATATCACCTGAAGAAGGCTGAAGTGTACAATGGTTGAAACATTGTGAATATGTTAATATAGTGTAAATATTTAATTGAAATAATTCCAATATATTTCACCTGAAAAAGGCCAGAGTGTACAACAGCCAAAATGTGAATATGACAAGAGGAGTACAATAATCTGAACAATATAAACAGTGTAAATATTTAACTGAGTTAATATTACATGTAAAAGGATTTACACATACACACATACACACACATATATAACAATATGTGAATATAAAAGTGGATACTAAGGTCAACACAGAGTGGCGACAATCTGTTTCATGCTCAAATCTTCAACCCATGTGGATTGTGTATTGACTTGACTATTTATATATACTTGTCAGTGGTGCATTATGGGTAGCAAGGCCTATTGTATTATTCTAACAGTTATTGGGTGGGCAGTAATAGTTATATTTAAAATTATTCTAGAGGCTACTGAGTAGAAATAATTGTGGATCTGAATGCAGTTATTTGTAGCTGTTTTATAGTGTTATTTATTAACATTTTACTCATTATATATATATATGTTAATAAAAAAACAAAAATTTAATTCTCAAATTGCCATATTAGTAAAAAACACACTCTCTTAAGTTTAAAAAAAAAAAAAATTCAACCTTAGCATTGCGACTGCACGCTCCAAAAGTTTGTATCCATTACAAATAACACATTTAAAAAAAAAAAAAAAATATTTCGATTTACATTATATTTTTTCTTCTCAGATGCTACCTGAATTTTACCAAAAACAAAATAATTTCCAATGTTCAGTTGAAAGTACTTGCATATTAAAGAAAGACCATATACAGCTTATAATTTTTAAAAATAAGGATAACATTCATTGAGTGATTTGTAGGTTAATGTACCTTTAAAATTTTGTTAGTGAAGGGATTTCGCCATTTTATATCATTAACTTTACTAATCTACTTTTTGTATGAATGATTCATTGTAATATATATACCACCACAAAATGTATCCTTTCCAGTTACATCTTTAATGTATTAGACATCCGAGAACATTCATATTTCTCTCACTTAAACTGTCTTTGACTCCCCTCTTTAAAACTTCTCTCTGTTAAATCCCCCCCCTTCATCTTTAGACCTTCCTGTTCTTCTCTCATCTGTTACCCCTCCCTATAGCTCTCTTTTACTCTAATATTCGTCCCACACTCTCATACATACATTCTCACTAAATTTTATTTTTTATACCCGGAGTTGTTTTTTCTGTTTTCTTTTTGAATTTGTAGGTCTGATGAATTGGATCGTATTTACGATTCCAAATAACCATGGAAAATTAGTGTTTAAGCCTTTTTATTATATCCTTACTCTGTCCTGGACATTGAGTTCTACCTGGATTCTATCCTCTTGGAATTATTTTTTATACAAATATATATGGATGTATGTATGTATGTATATATATTTATATATATGATTGCATATGTATGTGTATATTTACCACTAATATATATATATATATATATGATTGCATATGTATGTGTATATTTACCACTAATATATATATATATATATATGATTGCATATGTATGTGTATATTTACCACTAATATATATATATATATATATATGATTGCATATGTATGTGTATATTTACCACTAATATTATATATATATATATATATATGATTGCATATGTATGTATATATTTACCACTAATATTATATATATATATATATATATATATATATATGATTGCATATGTATGTATATTTACCACTAATATTATATATATATATATATATGATTGCATATGTGTATATTTACCACTAATATTATATATATATATATGATTGCATATGTATGTGTATATTTACCACTAATATTATATATATATATATATATATATATATGATTGCATATGTATGTGTATATTTACCACTAATATATATATATATATATATATATATATATGTATGTGTATATTTACCACTAATATTATATATATATATATATATATATATATATGATTGCATATGTATGTGTATATTTACCACTAATATTATATATATATATATATATATATATATATATATATGATTGCATATGTATGTGTATATTTACCATAATATTATATATATATATATATATATATGATTGCATATGTATGTATATTTACCACTAATATTATATATATATATATATATATATATATATATGATTGCATATGTATGTGTATATTTACCACCTAATATATATATATATATATATATATATATATGATTGCATATGTATGTGTATATTTACCACTAATATTATATATATATATATATATATGATTGCATATGTATGTGTATATTTACCACTAATATATATATATATATATATATATGATTGCATATGTATATGTGTATTTACCACTAATATATTATATATATATATATATATATGATTGCATATGTATGTATATTTACCACTAATATTATATATATATATATATATATATATGATTGCATATGTATGTGTATATTTATATGACTAATATATATATATATATATATATATATATATTGCATATGTATATGTATATTTACCACTAATATTATATATATATATATATATATATATATATTGCATATGTATGTGTATATTTACCACTAATATTATATATATATATATATATATATATATATATATGATTACATATGTATGTGTATATTTACACTAATATTATATATATATATATATATATATATATGATTGCATATGTATGTGTATATTTACCACTAATATATATATATATATATATATATATATATATATATATGCATATATGTGTGTATATTTACCACTAATATTATATATATATATATATATATATGATTGCATATGTATGTGTATATTTACCACTAATATATATATATATATATATATATATATATGATTGCATATGTATGTGTATTTTTTACCATATATATATATATATATATATATATATGATTGCATATGTATGTGTATATTTACCACTAATATTATATATATATATATATATATATATATATGATTGCATATGTATGTGTATATTTACCACTAATATATATATATATATATATATATATGATTGCATATGTATGTATATTTACCACTAATATATATATATATATATATATATATATGATTGCATATGTATATATTTACCATATATATATATATATATATATATATATATATATATATGATTGCATATGTATGTATATTTACCACTAATAATATATATATATATATATATATATATATATGTTTATATATATATATATATATATATGATGTTTAAATATATATATATATATATATATATATATATATTTAAATATTATTTTAATGGATACTCATCATTGAATAGATGCTCTTTTTTTATTATTAAATAGTATATTTATTTAAGTCTACTGGCCTGAATATTTGAAATTGTTAGAAAAATATGCGCCCTCCAGCAGGATTCGAATGATACATATTAATTATTTGAAATAAAGTAAAAATTTACCTTCAGTGAATGTAAATGGAAAATCCTTTAATGGTTCTACTGCTTCCATATAAGATTTGATTTTGGGGCACCCAACTTGATGAGAATGGTAAATGCCTCCAAACAACAAACCTTTCCAATCAGCTTCACGACATTCTTCACTGCAATACCTAATTGCTTTACACATTGGACTGCACAAAGGTAAAATAAGACAAAGTAATAGTAGAGTTTTTTTTGTTTAGATATGTTTTTGTGGAAAAAACAACAACATTAATAAGATGAAGTCAAACACATAACAACAACCTTAAAAAAAAAAAAAAAAAGAAGCAAATTCTATCTTTGCAGAGAAAAGGATGAGAGAGAAAAGCATATCACAAGTGAATGCAACCAACTGGCCCAGGGGAATACAGAAACAGGCACGATAGGGGAGGAACAATCACACATATTTAGAACAATGCAAATGATTCGGTTTCAACCATATAGACAATTGGTTATCAGTCCAAAGCAGTAGTCTTAAAATATAAAAAGATATTATGGAATTTTATCTAGACTGACAGCCTCACAGAGGAAAAAAAAAAAATGGATTTTATATTCAAGGAAAACAGTACCTGGTAGATTATAGATGTGGCTGTCCCAGCAGACCATAGGGTGAAGATGTGAGAAAAATGTGGAACATGAAAGTTATTAAGGTTAAAGCCAATAAAAGTTAGGATGCTTGGAATCATCCAAAATGAGATGAATTAGATATTCAAGCAAGAATTGAAACTCACCAGACCAAAGTGTTGGTGAGGTAGGTGGAATGGAGTGAGGGTATGCAGGGAGGGAAACTTGCTGTCTCTCACTCTTCTGTAATAACCCCCAAGTAATTACCTCTCCTCCCCTCCAACTTGTTCCTTTCGACTCAGTGGTTATTAAGAGCTTTGAAAAGAGATGTAATTACCAATAGTAGACTAAAAGAGTCTCTCTTTATTGACAAATCTAACAGCAGATCAATTTGGGTACTTGTCATGTCACTAATGGGATATCAAGAATAAACTGGTTTTTGTCAGGACCTTCAAGCACCAGTTGAGTTTGGCCCTGTCCTCACTGTAATTTGCCCTTTTTACAAGAAAAATGGAAAAGTACAATTTTTTTTAACAATATATGTTAGTCTCTTCAATCTACTAGGTCAAAGGTTAACTTGGTTTTTGATCAAAACTTCTAATTTCCACTAATCCAACATCTAAGTTTGGTTTGGTTTGGTTTGGTTTAGTTTATGGCATATCAACCTCAATGGGTTATTTAATGCAGACAAGATTTTTATTGCTGGTGATATTTTTTTTTTTCCAAAAATGTATTGCTAGTAATATTTTTCTTTTTCAAAAATGTATTGCTGGTAATATTTTTTTTCCAAAAATGTATTGATTGTAAAAACTTTTCCAAAAATGTATTGCTAGTATTAAAACCTATTTTTACACTTTCATAGTGTTTTGACCCCTTTGGAAGAGGGTGTACTATTTGCCCATAGCTGGGACCCTAACAGTTGCTACCACCCTGGGTCATGGTGGACCTGGGAACATCAGCAATTAGGTGGTTTCATGTTCATCAAAATCTCCTGATCAAAGGCTTTGCTATCAGATGTAGTTTATCATATTACTCAGAAAGTGGATGTAGTTTATTGTCATACTCAGGAGAGTGGGCGGAAAAAATATACCAACATCTAAAATGGAGAGCATAAAAATATGAAAATATCAGAAAAATTATCATATTTCATTTCGTGAATTGTTTCAACTGGGTATTTATTTTATTTTATTAAAACATTTAAATTCAGATCTTTAATCTCTGATTACTTTCTATCAATAAAATCAATTTTTTATGAGGAAATTTAAATATTATTAATTAATGAGCTGCAAATTTTATTTTATGATCTTTGTAGGGTCTGAACATTTTTTTTTTTTTACATTCAACTCCTAATTTACTTTTTAAAATAATCACAAAATAATTTCAGTCATTTTTCTAAAATTAATGGAAATAATTAAAATCTGTTTTCATTTTCGAGATTCACTTTTGACAAAACCAAAACCACTGTTAGCTTTTCTTTTCAACATTGAAAAATGAAAGCTTTATTTACTTTTCATCTGTTTAGCAAATGGATACAATAGTCTTTGGAAATCAAATCAGTTTAAACCTGTAATTGCTGAATATCTTTAAACTAAATCAAATCTTTATTTTGTTCAATTTTGTGTGAGAATTGGTTGGAAGAACACACACACACACACACACACACACACACAAAAAAAAAAAACTATATACAAGTCCAATGGACCAAACAGTGGTACACAGTTCAATAGGCAAATCAATTCCACAAATGCTATTATCGTTCCTAATCTCAGGTAAGCAACTCTTGCCAAAAATGAGTCTCCCCTTTAAATGAGCATACCATGTGTTTATGCACCTGACCCAGCCATTGCTCAGCCATTGCTCAACCAATGAGCACCTAGAACCAGGCAATAAAAATGTCTACAAGCAACACCACCACTTCTGTCCACACAAAGCGCTACCTGATTCACCTTCAGTCCGAATCTCACCAATTCGCCGTCTCCACACTCCATTGTAAAAGATATGTGAACTCTAGACCTTTTGGGTTGCCAAGGTAAGTCTCTGCTACAGACTTTGAATTCATTAATTATATTTTGTTACAATCTTTCATTCTCAAAGTATAACTGAAAATAAAAACTGATAAAATTTTAACAGAAATAATCATAGCTTCCATTTTATTTTCATAATACTTCAGAACTTAAGTTTTTCTTGGCAGTAAAAACTGAAAGGTCAAAAGAAAATGAGTAATCAGCCACAAGCTTTTTCATTCGATTCAGTTGAACACCAAAATGAGGAAAGCAAGAAATGTTCATTCCTTAGATGATCTGGCTATATTGAATTTTCCTATGGTATTGATTGAAGAGAAACAATTCCATTCAACTAAATCCATTGTTGCTCCTGCCCACCCACTGACAAATTGAAAAAATTACTAAACTCATTATTTTTTAGCTCAGGAAACCTGACTATCCAGGACAGCTGCCTTACTAATTACAATATGAGGCAAAAACAAAAATGGACACACCCATAGAAAGTTGCTTTTTGTATTTTTAACAAAACAAGTGAGTAATAGAATTCATTTATTAATATAGGGTACATATATACATTAAACAAGTCAAGAAATGATTAAGTATTTTGTTGGCTGGCCTTTTGCTTTAATAACAGCCTTAATTCTTCGTGGAATGCTATAGACTAAATTCTTTAGTAAGTCAATGTTCTTCACCTGATTTCTCCAGCATTCATTTAATTTGTAAAAAAGCTCATCTTCTGTGTTAACTTTCCTATTACTGGCACGCTTGTCCATCATCACCCAAAGGTTTTCAATTGGGTTAAGGTCAGGACTCTGACTTGGAATATTTGCAATTTACCCTCATCACACTCCCTCTCTAGATAATGTTTATTCTTTAATGCAGTATGCTTAGCATTGTTATTGTGTTGGTACGTGTTGTGTTGGCAAGTATTGACTTTGGGCAAAGTTTTTTTAGCAGAAAGCCACATTTGATTAACAAGAATATTTGTGGCATTGATGCTGTTCCATGATTTCCTTTCTATCGGCATGTCCATTTTTTTGCCTCATACTGTAGGTTACAAAAACTATCTGTAACAGGAGCTGAAATCTAACTATACCAGAGATGATGAACTTTTATAGTTGCTGGCCCATTTTTGGTAATTTTAAATTGTTCATCAACATAAGTCTGTCACTCATATACTTACCAATATATTTTTTTATGAGAAACTTGTTGCAGCATCTTAGTTGCTAAAGTTTTCATTCAAGGTTCATACTTTGTTGCTTTCAGCTTAATGCAAGTATCACTCATGTCTATATGAAGACGATTCATGCTGATTGATTTTCTAGAGTTCATGGATGAGAACAATGTTTCACATGAGTAGAATGAACCAGAAATAGACAGCATTGCTACGGCTAACTTTTTCATTGATGCAAAAGAGTTAGGCAAGAACTGATATTCTCCAAGAATGGCGTTCTCACCTCTGCTTTCTAAAGGTTATTTCTTTTTTTTGTTAGATAAAAGGCTCATGATTTTACTTCCTTTTCTTGTAACTTCAGATTAAGGTTGATACATTTTGTCTTCCACACTGCACTTTTTTGGAAGTCCATTAATTCCATTTCCAAACTATTTACATCAAATCAATCAAACATGGACAGCTTAAGATCATGAAATTGAATAACATGGGGGAATTTGATGAAGTGTAAAGTGCTATTTCATTCTCAGAATTGAGAAAATCTCTCTGAAAGTAAATGCTTGGTATCTGTCTATCTTGGAAATGGGGTATTATGATTGTTTACATTATTTATATTATTCAGACCATTATCCTCATCTTCATTGCCACATTCACAACGTTTCAGTCGTCGTACGCTCCGGCCTTTATGTCTATGTCTCTCTATATATCTGTCTACATCTCTGAGATGAGTAATCATTATTTGCATTATTTACATTATTAGGAATCTCATCCTCATTGCCATATTCACAACATTTTGGCCGTTGTATGCTCCAGCCTTTATGTTTATGTCTCTCTATCTGTCTATATCTCTGAGATGAGGTATTACGATTACTTGTATTATTTACATTATTTGGACTTTTATCCACATCTTCATTGCCACATTCACAATGTTTTGGCTGTTGTACACTCTGGCCTTCTTCAGGTGATTGGAATTTCAAACCAAACCCTTTATTCCGTCCACCGAGGTAGATTGTTCTAATTCCACATGCCATGCCTCTTTCGAGTGTCTCATTTATTTCCCTTTAACTCAACTCTCCAAGTTTTGGTTCACCACTGCTGTGGATCGCTATTGAACTTACAACTTTTTGGGTCTAGTCACTGGATCTAACCAGCGTCTTTATCCACTGGGCTGTGGAGGGTAAAGGCAGATCACCCTGATCCCCCCCCCCCGGAATGAGATTTAAATAAGACAGATAGCATTACTGGAAAATATGAAAACTTAAGGAATCAGCACATATGCTAGGGCACAAAAATCTCCTGAGCCGACCAAGCATAGACATGAATAGAATATGGGAACCAGAAATAAGTGCTAGAGAAAAGCAATGAATAACAAAAAATTGTGATATAAGCTCTGGTAAAAAATACAATAATAATA